AACGATTGTACATGCAGTTCAGTCGTTTATTTTTGGAGCTTTACCCACAACGTACGTAAAACTCAGTATCCTTTTGCATATTTGTCTATATCGAGATTGAAACCTTCCAAGATACTTATCAACATCTAACTTGGAAGAAAATCTTTATTTGGGACTTTCATATTAAGTTACATCGTCATCACTAGGTCTCTATTTTGGTCTCCAATCCACGAGCATGACCTCTCTAATTAATCAGAAACAATAAATGAAGGACTTGCCTACACTCCTTACTCTAGCCAGATGGGTTGGGGAGGCAATTAAATTGGATAATTTTATGTATTCGACAGTATTTTGTGACCCACTCATGTATGTCCAATGATCTAAAGTAGGTATGACAGTACACTGATTTTTATTGAAATAAATATGAACGATCTATCTTCTTAGGCAATCGTGGTCTCGTAGCAGGTTAAGGCTCTTCTGAAAGATTGGTGCGTTAATTCAACACAAGCCTTCTACTCCCATCTCAAACTCTAAACGCATTGACCGCAACGTTTGTAAACTCACTCGCACGTGGCTCCGATAAATTAACTAGCACTAATTATAAATGCTAACAACAACACTCAACTGAACCGGTAACGAGAGCTAAATTTAGCAGTCGGTACAACGAGGAATGCATGACGTACGAGCATCGTACGTGACATGGAATCGAAAGCGTGGAAATTCTCTTATGGAACTGTGAAACTGCAAGTTTCGACGCGAAAACTAAATACAAAAAGCAAACCTTTTACTGAATGCATCAATAGATACTACTTATACGATAGATCTTATTTTTTACGCGAGGAAATGCTATTCTTAAGAAAACTAATCTTTAACACCAAAAGGACAATGACCAAAAATGTACGGAGTGTGGTCCAAATGTCCACCACTAACGAGACCTATGTAGTAAAATAGTCTTCTAAATATTGATTCATTATAGCCAAACCGTAATCAAAAATATGTTGTCAGTAAAAAGTTATGACTGAATGAAAAGTCTGTTTTTTACCTTTTCATCCGAAAAATGTTCTTGATATCATTCTATCCATTGCACATTTTGGACTAATCTACGCATGTTATGTAATGTCGCATGTGGCGCGGGGTTATAGATGAATTTTATTAAATATTATACTAGCTGTGCCTACGACTTTGTACCTACGCGTGAAAATTGTTTGAATAATATTTCCCATTTTTACAACATTTGTCTTTACTATTCCGCCCCTATTGGTTGTAGGGTGATGTTATTTATTCTAAACCCATCCTTGATAAATGGGCTATCTATTACAAAAAGATTTTTTCACATCGGACCCGTAGTTCCTGAGATTAGCACGTAAACTACTACAACTTTTTAAACAGTCATAACTTTTTACTGACAGCTTATTTTTTTTTCGTCCCATACTGAAAGTTAATCTCTATTTAATGGACTATAAGCCAATATAGGTCTCATTGGTGGTGGACATTTGGACCACTTTTGGTCATTGTCCTTTTACTACGCATGAAAAGTTCTTATTCCCAGTCCATACATCTAGTGAATATCAGACACCTCAAGTCGGCAAGTCACAACACGTTCATCCCTCCAATCAATAAAGACAGCTTTATTGTCATTACAGCCACAGGACGTCCACTGCTGAACATAGGCCAGCCCCAATAATTTCCATATTGACCGGTTGGTAGCAGCCTGCAACCAGCGCCTTCTTGCTACCTGAGGTCTATGAGGTCATCGGTAACAGCATTTACAAGGTTTTATTTGCAAAGCAAAAATAAAAACTTTTGCGGGATGTATCCCAAAATCCTCGAAGGTAAAATTATTATAAATTTCTGAGAAGAACTACATCTTATCTACATAGTTTAGTCTAGTCCATAAACGACTGTAACATTGTACCTTTACGATGACCATTTACATAATGACGTACGGGACAATTTCACGGCAATTCACCATCTATTCTGTAATAATATTCATGAACACGACTCCCCTGACGTTGCAAATTTTTACGACCTGGAACTATCTGAGTCACGTCCACAGTAACTGCCGCTGAAACGGTCGGAATGGCTCAACGACAATACAATTAGGTACAGAAGAACTATTTCCTCCTTCCTAAATGTTACACGAAAATATATTTGCGACGTGATGATCAGGCTGAAGGTGGAAGTGAGCTTCACCCGCAATCTTCAACAACATAGGAACTGGCTATCTTACCTCTAACTGCCGGAGCACATCAATGCTTTTAACATGTGGTTATGGCGACAGATTAAATAAATAGAAGATGGTGGTAGCTAGCCATGACGACTTAGAACAAGCCCACCACAAACCAAACCGAACAAAAAAATTTTCCCTTACTGGAAATTGAACCTGGACCTCTGGGTCTGAAGCAGGTGTTCTTCACTAGACCAGGCGCGGTGGTCAAATATAAAGTTTAAGACTAAGTATTACTAGGTATAGTTACCCGACTGCGCCATAAGGAGGGTTATTTTCTTACTAGCTGTGCGGCGGCTAGTTACGAGTGCTTCTGTACATCTGTATCTTGTAGAACTGTATGCTAATTCCGATTCAATTTTACAAACAATTGAGTTCGAAATAAATTAAGACTGTCGCTTTGAAATCGCGTTGTTTGTGCATGACTGATGGATGTTTGGTTAGTAAATACGACTGTGAAGTGAAAATAAATGTTGATATAGTGATTCGGTTTCAAATCACGATGATTGTTTCTCCACTTTCATGGAAATTCTAACTTGTTTTTTCACATCTGGCATTTAAAGGTTGTGTGAGTAAAGATTTGATGCCTACGCGAAAAATATAATAAGATAGCTATTCATCTGTACTTTTCTCATCCTATGAGCTATAACGAAAAGCACTTTCGTATTACAGTACAAAAATACGAAGTTAGTGAATGCGAAAACTTTAAGCTTGTTTAAAAAGGAGTCATAATTCAACGAGCAGATAGCCACTTTTGCCATAACAACTTTTAAAGTGAATTTACGAAGTTGATAGCCCAACCATTGCGATAAGGCTAACTGAGCAAGATATCACGGCAAGTAATTTAGCTACGAGAGATTGCTTTCTTCCTTTATTATAACGAAATAGGAAATACAAGGAGGGATTCTATCCATCCGAAACTTCAAGTATCTACCGTTGTTCGGAGTAGCTTCTACTAAGGAACGCAGCAGCTCTGTGTCAAATATTGTTTTACGCCCGTACTCACAAACATTATTGTGACTTTTGACAGTACGCGTGGACGCATAGGGTGGTGACACATGAACCACAGAGCTCTATTCAACGCTGTGCGTTAGATTTTCTGCTTCACTTAAGCAAACATCGTTTGTGAATGCGGGCGTAAGTGTAGGATACCGTGAATCTTTTTCATCCAAAATCATACAACCTTCGTCATTGGATCACAATAAGCTTTACTGCCGAAAATGTTTCAGATTTCGAAGGTTTCCGTGCATTGACGGGCGGTGTATAGTTTTACCGAGCTTTTTGTCCTCTCAATAGAGACTCGTCATTTTCTGATCAATGAAAAATATTTATCGTAAAATTCTTTGTCGCACAGGTAATAACAGCTAGCCGCAGCCTCGTGCTGTGCGCGGACAGTCGCGGAGAAATGGAGTCGTGGGCGGGAGCGCTTCGGGGCGCCCTGCACCGCGGTGCCGACGTGGCTGACCTGGTCGCTCGCCTATCTTCTGGGGACCACCACTGGTGAGCAATTAGAATAAAGTGCTGCTGCTGCTATTTGCTATAATAACTAGAATAAAGCCTTAGAACTATAATGTGAATGGAGTTGTGAGCGGGAGTGCTGCGAGGCGCCCTGCACCGCGGTGCCGATGTGGCTGACCTGGTCGCTCGCCCATCTTCTGGGGACCACCACTGGTGAGCAATAAGTGGCAGTAACTAGAATAAAGCCATTAGCCATATCCATCTAGTTATTAAACTAGAGCTATGATGCTGATGGAACCGTAGGGCACGCTGCAGTTTCAATCTGCTGTATAATTTGATTCTGGTAGCTTTGAAATCAATAAAGAGTTGGTCAATTGAATTCGCGAAATAGTGACATCATAATCCTCTTTGATATACAAAATTTTATAAAAGAGGCACGTTTTGATCCCAACTAATATTATAAATGCGAAAGTAACTCTGTCTGTCTGTCTGTCTGTCTGTCTGTCTGTCTGTCTGTTACGCTTTCCCGCTTAAACCTCGCAACCGATTTTGATGAAATTTGGCATAAAGATAGTTTGAGTCCCGGGAAAGAACATAGGATAGTTTTTATCCCGGTTTTTGAAACAGGGACGCGCGCGATAAAGTTTTTCTGTGACAGACAAAATTCCACGCGGGCGAAGCCGCGGGCGGAAAGCTAGTAGTCCATAAAAAGTATATCAATGGACTAATGTGTACTTAACAAGATATTTTTTTCTTATTTTCGATCAAGATATAGCCCCTAGTTAACTAGGTGGGCATAGTCTCGTTTAATGGACTGTCGTCTGCGGTGTTTCCGGACCGATACGACCTGCAAGCTTTCAAGAAGAGAGCGTATCTTCACCTTAACGGCTGGCAACGCACCTGTAACGCCCCTGGGACTGCGGATGTCTATGGGCGATGGTAATCACTTACCATCAGGTGATCCGTCTGCTCGTTTGCCTCCTGTCACATAAAAAAATAACTATCCTATCCTGAAGTAATCGTTCGTTCGTTCGTTTCAGCCAAATGACGTCCACTGCTGGACAAAGGCCTCCTCCAAGGTCTTCTACAATGCACAGTCCTGCGCTGCCCGCATCCAGGCTCTTACCGCGACCTTTACCAGATCGTCGGTCCACCTAGTAGGAGGCCTGCCCACGTTACGTCTTCCAGCCCATGGTCGCCACTCGAGAACTTTTCTGCCCCAACGGCCATCGTCTCTACGACCTATGTGCCCCGCCCACTGCCACTTGATTTTAGCGATTCTGCCTGAAGTAATAGAAGTCTTTAATAACACCAAAATGTTGTCCCCAGGTATGCAGCAACACACGCACGTCCCACCTTCTGCAACGTGTGCCGTGAGCCCCTCGGCGCGCTGGGCACGGCGCACGCGCTGGCGTGCGAGCTGTGCAAGTTCAAGGCGCACAAGCGTTGTGCGTCGCGCGCACCGCCCTCGTGCAAGTGGAGCACGCTGGCTTCGCTCGGCCCGCACGTGGTAGAAGACGTAGAGGGGGTGAGTGGAAGCGACAGTAGTAGTGTAGTCACTAAAGTCCGGTCGCCGAGCAGATAGAATTTCGTCCAATGACCCCAAGCTACCCTACCTTATCGCTCGCGCGTAATTATATTACTGACGCGACTGTGCGACGGGCGGCCGCAGTGAGTGTGTGAGCGCGACAAAAATACAATTACACGCGAGCGATAAGGATGGGTAGCTTGGGGTCATTGGACGAAATTCTATCTGCTCGGCCGGACTTTAGCCATCTTTTGCAACGTGTGCCGCGAGCCTCTCGGCGCGCTGGGCACGGCGCACGCGCTGGCGTGCGAGCTGTGCAAGTTCAAGGCGCACAAGCGCTGCGCGTCGCGCGCGCCGCCCTCGTGCAAGTGGAGCACGCTCGCCTCGCTTGGCCCGCACGTGGTAGAAGACGTAGAGGGGGTGAGTGGAAGCGACAGTAGTAGTGTAGTAACTAAAGTCCGGTCGCCGAGCAGATAGAATTTCGTCCAATGACCCCAAGCTACCCATCCTTATCGCTCGCGTGTAATTGTATTTTTGTCGCGCTCACACACTCACTGCGGCCGCCCGTCGCACAGTCGCGTAATTATATTGCTGTCGTGACTGTGCGACGGGCGGACCGCAGTGAGTATGCGAGCGCGACAGCAATATAATTACACGCGAGCGATAAGGATGGGTAGCTTGGGGTCATTGGTCGAAATTCTATCTGCTCGCCGCCCTCGTGCAAGTGAAGCACGCTCGCCTCGCTTGGCCCGCACGTGGTGGAGGATGTAGAAGGGGTGAGTTTAGAAAAAAAATGTAGGCTGTTCCCATTGACTGTATGCAGCAGTCTCTAACATCTAAGACGACGTAAGGACAGTTCAATAATCGACGCTGCCATACCCTTACCCAGTAACCGACTCTTCCATTCCCCAGTATCCGACGCTACCATCATGCCCATGATACTAAGACCACAGAATTATACCTCTAGAATTATATCCTAGTCACCTACCACTATTAGGCGCAAGTAAAATAACTATAGGTAAATAACAGTCATAAATAGTCATTTAACGAAACATAGCCTACGTTAAGAAGTGTAGCATGTGTCACAAGTAATAAAGAAGTATTGTTCAGCAGGGATTCATTAATTTTGTATACTTTAGTCAAAAAATAAGGACCCGTAGAGTTCACAATAATATCCTGTTACTAAAAGAGCTTTTACAAACTAACATCATTTCATCCCCTGCAAATAAACTGTATTAAATCGCAAAATATTTCAATCCTTACATCATTGTAGAGAACCAACCTCATCCCCTCCCCGAGTGCACGTAAATTATGCAAGTTAGATAAGAAGCTTGCAAAGAGGCAATATTAAAGTGCAGTGCGCGCTCACCGACCCATGCATCGCCCGGAGCAAACGCGGATGCTTATCAGAGATTTACCGACTTCTAAACTTGCTAACTTAAGCTCTGATGTTTATTTATTATAAGTATCTAGCTTACTATCTACCTAACTACGATTTAGAGCACCAACTCGCAATGTATGCACTCAGAAAGTTTAACAGGAATTTCGAAACAACTGCTTCTTATTAACATACCTACCAACGGAAAACTAATTTAGTTGTATCTCTAAAACGACTAAACCGATTTGAAAAATTCTTTCACCATTAGAATCCTGCATTGTTTTTGATGAAAATAGGTAGTACGAAGTTTACCGGGTCAGCTAGTTGGATCTAAATGTATAAAGAACTAGCGGCCGCCCGCGACTTCGCACGCGTGGATCCCGTTTAACCCCCTTAGGGTTGGAGTTTCGTAAAATCCTTTCTTAGCGGATGCCTACGTCATAACATCTACCTGCATGCCAAATTTCAGCGCGATCCGTTCAGTGGTTTGGGCTGTGCGTTGATAGATCACTATGTCAGCCAGTCAGTCACCTTTGAGTTATACAGGGTGTTAGGTAAATGGGTATATGAGCCGACACTAGCCCATGTTAACATGGGCATATAAATGGTATGGTGAAGTCAGAAATTTGATAGCATCATTTTATTTTTTTTAATTTTCATACAAAATAAATTTTGTAAAATCCGATTTTTATGAAAANATGGTATGGTGAAGTCAGAAATTTGATAGCATCATTTTATTTTTTTTAATTTTCATACAAAATAAATTTTGTAAAATCCGATTTTTATGAAAATTAAAATAATTAAAATGAAAATATCAATTTTCTGACTTCACCATACCATTTATATGCCCATGTTAACATGGGTTAGTGTCGGCTCATATACCCATTTACCTAACACCCTGTATATATTTAGATTATCAGCTAATACCTAGGATACAGAACAGTATACTCCTCGTCGTAATACGTAGCTTAACCTAGTTTTCTTATTTTATTTATGACCTTTAGTTCACCTAGCTACATCATTGGATTCCACCCAATTTTCTCTTTATTCGATTCCTAGCATATAACGTTAAGAAAACCCGCTTTTCAATAAATTGATACAACGTAATCTAGTTGGTACAGTTACAGTACAGTAATTGGGTTTATATACCTTCAATAATGCCAGGTCTACCTACTGTGAAACAAAACAATTTGTATGTGATCATCATAACAATAGTTTTGTGATCTGAAATCTTTAACTGCTATATGTTTAAATTAGTCAGGCATTTTTCTGTAATGTAACATGCAACTGTATCATCATTGATTTCCTGAATATACAAGTATAAACAATAGCGGATGTCTGTATGGCATCCACCACATCTTTATTTTATGGCCCACCAGGAAGGCAATAAAAGGACAGATTTAACAGCCGCGATCGCTGAGTGGTATTGAGTTGTTCAATCAAAGAAATTGACCCATTTCTTTTTAATGACAGAATGAAAGTACCACAGAAGCGTCTGGAGTTTGCTTTTTAATTTCAATACTTTTAAAAGGTTAAAACATTCGAATGAAAGTCTATAAACTTAATTAATGATTCACATGAACACAAAATGTGGTGATCTAAATAATATATTTTTACCGCTACCACAAAACAGCTTCATTAAACATTTGAAATATAATTGCAGTGTTTTCAACCATTTGTGAAACGAACATCCATAATTAACCAGCCATCGTATTGTTGCCGCAACTGGAATAAATAATTTATTCATGCATTAAGTGTTATGAACGGCTCTATCTTTATCGTTAAATTTTTTCAGTATTTTTTAATATTGCAAACTTGTGAAATGATGGGATTTCTTTAATTAAACAATATGTATATTATGTTGAATAACTTTATAAAATGACTGATATACCTAATGAAAACTGGCCAAATCAAATCTAACCTCAAATAAACTTGGCACTCATTTAGATCTCCATTGTTTTTGCGGCGAAGCCCACAGCCAGGCATAATTTTTGTATTAATCTTGGCTTTCCTTTTTTACATTTATGTTTTGGTGGGATTTTACTTAGTACATCACATTTCAAAAACATTTTCCATCCAAACGATTTCATACTACATTTAGCTAGTCTAATAGTTAAGCTTTAGTTAGGCATATAATTATAAAATACAAGCCCGAAACAAGAAACTTAGAATGTTACTGAAGTTACAAGAATAGCCTTGTTTCGTTGGAAAACATAGAATGGAACAAGTCAGTGACTTTGAGATAACTTTATAACTTTCCCCGGGTTGAGCCCCATCTATCATGTTGTAGTCGTTTGTTATTGAAATAAGTTTGCCAGGTACAAGCACACTTACAAACTCTTTACGCGATTTCTAATAATGAGCTCCATCATTTCACCGTAGGACGTCTACTCCTGAACATTAGGCCTCCTACAATGATTGCCATGCCGACTGGTTGAAAGGAGAGCTTAAATATACATAAATTCAATAATACAAACAGTTACGGTCATGCACATTGCACACAATATTTGTATTCTAAAAGGATCGAATCCGCTGCCTCTGGTCAAATAGCAGGTCTTCTAACCACTGAGCCAAATAGGTCGAATAAAGCAATATCTGTCTAGCCATGACTTACGAGCTGTATCTAATCTGAAGAAGGATTTATAATGCCCCAGCCCGGGTGATATTTATTAAGGTGCCATGTCTTTTGTTAGCCAACAGAGAAATACTTGTAGGAAATAATATTTCATTTTGACCACCAGTAAGATACAATTTCAAACTTTCATGTTCGAATAGGGGAGTAATTTTCCTGTGATTTTGGAGAGCGATAATTGTACTTGATTTAATATTAAAGTACGTTTTTAAATAGTTTGAAAAGAGTATGTATCGCATATTCTTTATGGAATTGTGTTTTATACTTTCTTCAGTGAAAGTGAAAGCCCACAGTAACATTTGATTTTCACCCGAAAAATAGAATTTCCATTTCAACAAACGTGCAACAAAATTGAAACGTATTTTCCTTGAACACTAAACATCAAAGAGAAACCTATAGAACGCTAGAGGTAGAAATTGAATAAAAAGTTTTGTTTATTTTTTTGTAGTATAAAAGTGCACCAAGATTTTTCAATCAAGCTCACCTTTCAACCTTCAGCTAGAGAATACAATCTAGAAAGTTTATGAACAAATCCGCAAAGCACACGAGCTAAGTCGCTGTAAGGCTGGACTGCAATACTTAATGTTTGATATTAGATTCCCTGACCTTTTGAGGTTATCATGAAGTTGCAATAGCAGTTATGCAACTTTGCGCAGCAGGCTTTTAGTTTGAAAGTCTTTTTGCCTTTACAAGACAGTGGAAATATATTTCCCACCATATTTTGAACCTTATTCGCTTATTTAGGTTCAAAAACGATGAAAATTTTGATTAGGTATGTTATGACTGTTAAAGGGTTAAGATATAAACTACTAGGTCGACAGTTTATGATGTACGCACTTGCACGTACACTATCGGCACGTACAGGAACTCCATGAATTTTACATACTATGAATACATCTGTAGTTCGCACCAAGATTACTATCATTAATGCAAATGTATGATGAAAATCGACTGAAACTGAGAAAATACAGCCTCAGTTTTCTTTCTTCT